CAGGCCACTTCGCACGTGAATGTAAGACGGGTTCCAACAGGTCAAACAGTTCAGCAGTACGTAAACGCAGGACTGAAGGAGACGAAGCGAACTCCAATCAGTCGCTAAACTGAAACGAGCCAGCAGGAAGGGCCGCGTGCTGGCTCTAGATGTTGAAGGGCCCATAATCTCCGTCTCACAAATTGGCCGGAATGCGAGCAACCTCACTATTGGTGGATGTGTGAATGGGCAGGAGCGAGTGCTGACAGTGGATACTGGAGCGTCACATTCCTTTATTCGACCTGATGTGACTACTTTTTATGTGAAGCCACTACCTGGAGCAAAGCTGCAGACTGCAACTGGTGAGCGAACCCAAGTGTTAGGAGAAGTACTATGCGAGGTAATAATCGACGGGTTGGCCTCGTACACGAAGTTTATTGTCGCATCATCATCGGCGTGGATTTCCTACTTGGGCAAGGCATGAAGATTGACCTCCAGGGAATGATCCTAACCTATGGCGACAGGAAAGTGCCACTTAGGGTTGGTTACGACAACCAGTGCTTCAGCAGACGGTTGGTCTTAGAGGAAGTGCCGAAGATTCCACCAGAAACAGAAGCGGTTATTTGGGCGGAGGTTGGCAGTGATGGAGACGGAGTGGTTTCATCAGGAGAAGGAAGCGGTTCACTGATACAGGAAAAGCGTGACGGTTCCGCTAGCTCAGTGAAGAAGAGGTCGCAACAAGGAAGTGGTCATGGCAAGCCAGGCAGTGTTTCCGGCAGGAGGAAAGCCACTGAACCACGTTGCAATGGTGATACGCCGGTGGCCGGAAATGGAAGCGGCTGTGAAAGCAGTAGGGGCGCATTAATGTGTCGAAAAAGGTGGTCGGAAAAGGCGAGCAGTTAAGCCGGAAGCCAAGGTTGAGATTATACATGTCCGGTCAATGAAGTTAGCATCGGCGGAAGAGCGAGATATGAAACGACGGCGGAAGTTTCAGCGTAAGGATCCGGATGTAGCAAGATGTGCTAAAGACAGTACAGCACGAAGGCGGGAGTCTGGGTGTCATGGACAGATGTTGCGGCATAGATCTGGAGAAAAGGGTGCCAATGAGAAGAGACATGGTCTGGTCACCACCAGTGGCCGACAGAAGCACGACCATGTGAGATGGTGCTCCACCGGAGATAAGCTGGAGGCAATGTCCAGTAACGCATCGAGCCGAGAGGGGCTACAGGAAGGGGATTCGGTGTTGTTGCACATGCCGCAGCCGAAGAAAGGCTTCACCTCCAAACAACATCGTAACTGGAAAGGTCCATATAGGATTGACAAACGGCTGAAGGACGCAGTGCATCGAATCCAGACAATGGGGAGACCGAGGACCAAGATGAAAGTGGCCCACTTGGAAAGACTTGCAGCGGTTGGAGCGGCAAGTGTGTCTGATCGGGACGATCAGACTTACGTGGAGGGCAGTGTGGCGAATACTGCGGCAACACAAAGCGAACAACGGGAAATAGGCAGAATGTTCGAAGAATGACGTAGAATGTTCCGCAAAGAGAAACGTCAAGTTGGATGAACACTGCGAACAGCGAGAGAAAGAGAATGAGCGATAAATTCAGAATGTTCTAGAGTTGCCATAAGTGCCAGCGCAGGTATATAAGGGCGCCGCCACCGCGAGGTGAGTTAGTTACGAGTTACAAGTCAGCAAGCTACAAGTGAACTGAGCAGAGAATTGAGTTGCGAATAAGCAAGCTAAAAGTTTAATTTTGTTAACAAGTAGTAAAGCGTTGTTATTGCTTTAACAAGTATTGTAAAGTGTTTTTACTGTATTAGCAAGTATTGTAAATTGTTTGTTGTACAATAAAGTTAATTGTACTACAATTTGGTCATCGTTAGCATTTATTTAACAATCCAGCGATACGAACCGGAAGTTATTTGGGTAATCCCTCAAGGTTTCGAGAATAATCGTAACAATATGGTAGCTAGGGATAGTGGCAGCCCTGTTCCCAACCGATTAGGAGTATGCGCGTTCCTTATCTCCCAGAAATAGTCAGAAAAAGTCCGAAGTAGTCAGATTTAGTCCAAAAAGCGTTCCTTAACTCGGAAATGACAGCAAAAATGAGAGAGCAACAGTCAGTGAGAGCGACTCTCATCAGTCCGAAGTAGTCAGATTTAGTCAGAAGAATTTATTCTGGCAAGATCCTGAAAAGTGTCAAACTCAACTGAATTTAAATTAACGGAAATTAAAGAATACGCAAAAAGTGAGAATAATCTAAAAAGTAAAACAAATGAATTGAAATTGGAAGGAGGCAAAAGATAATTGATATAGCAAGTGTTTATTGTGCTGGTGCTTGTGTGAATGTGTTTTGTACATACATTTCTGTTGTTATTTGACGTTAGTTTTGTTGTTGCCATTCTTTGGACTAAAAATTTGGTTTTTTGCGTTCCTTTACTTTTCCTGTTACTCTCTTTTAGTGAGCGCATTTTGCTTACGCTCTGGCATTTTGACACATTTCAGATTTTAGTCCAAAAAGATAAGGAATGAACCTATTGTAGAAAGGGTCGATACAGCAGTGCACGACAGCCTGGTAGTGCAGTGCAAATCTTAAGCTGCCATTTGCACGGGTGCGGTTTACGACGTTTAAGTAAAATCTACCACCCGTGTAAATGGCAATTCAACCGTAAAATGTAAACACTTCGGCTGGTATATTTTTCAGTCTACAGAAATTGACCCGTGTAAATGCAGCTTTACACCCGTTTTACATGATTCAAGCAGTGGTTCTTTAAATTGGCAACCAGAAAATGTCAAAAGCAAAGTAAGGAACTTGAAACGACTCGACGGTGCACACAGATGTGTACTCTTTTATTTTCTTCCTACCCCTTATATTCCACTGGCAAGCAGAATTGAATTTAATACTTGAAACTGTGTAAAACCTATCTTATGATCTTTTGTTAGGAACTATCGAGTGATTTCAATTATCGATAGTTAGTTGCGGACTGATATTTACAATCGAACGAAATTTTTCACCCATGTATTCATTCATAATTATAGAAAAATAGTTTTTCAAATAGGAGGTGGCCTTTAATTACGGTCTCAAGTATGGCAGTACACTTTCAAAGCAACCTGTTATAGATTAACAATCTTTGAAAAAAGAAATCGAGAAACAGCATCAACAATAAAATTGCCAAAAATCAATGGTAAATCCTGGCTATTATTGGATGGTTAGAGCGCCGTTTTTTGTTATGTAATTTTGATTCATACGTGTTTGCGTGAGTAACTCAACGTCTCCACCTTCTACAGATTCTGTTAATAAAGCTCTGTTAAGAGAGAAAAGTCAGCGAAGACCGCAAATTTTGCATTGGTGAACCATATCTGTCTGGTCGAATCTCTTACCATCGCTGTATTAACATCAGGTGTCATTTCGTAGCTTGACAATTTGGAAAGTCATATGTTAAGGCAGCGAATTGGGCCTTTGAGAAAACGGGGCAAAGTTACACAGACGTTTGACACATATTAAGCCACTTTTAGTAGAAGGTGGAGATATGGGGTAATGTAGCAATTTTTTTATGGTGTGCAAGGTGAATCTATACAAGGTGGTTCTATCGGATCCGCTGATTTCACGGCGAATTTTTACCTTTTGTCAAAATTATGTGTCTTTTGTAATTCTGCTTTGTACTGATTGTCAATGTGCGTATCGTTTCTTGTTGTAATTTTTGTTTTTACTCTTTCAACAGCACCTTGTATTTATGATTATTTTCATAATTAATCGATTAATCGAAAATAAAGTTAAGATAAAATTATATATATCGTTCATAGATGTTGCGATTAATCTTCCGTCTATACCACTGACGTGTTGCTCGCTGTCAAAAACAACTGATATGAAAAATAAACTCTCGCCGAATGCGTACGCGGAGTTTTTGGACCTTGTTTTCTTAGGGCCGGTAACTCAATGTCTGGTTATCACTACTTGCCGGTTAAACATCATTATCGACGTTTTCGACATCATGCAAGAATGATAGAATACAAGATTGCGCCGTCCTGGGCGTTGACATTTGTGTACCACACGTAAACAAAGAATAGAGCGAAAAGAAGAACGAGTTGAAACTGCCAAAGCAGTTCACTTTACAGCGAAAAACGTGTTTTAATTTTGCTAATTGCGAAAATATTGCATTTTTCACCTAATCTATAAGAGAACAGTGAATATTTTAGTGCACTCCATTGCTTTGCAATTTAGGCTGCTTCAGCAAACGTTTTAGTGCACTCCATTGCTTTGCAATTAAGGCTGCTGCAGAAAACTGCGGCAGCATCTCAGCTGGATTGATTGGTTAACTTGCTAATGGAGGCTGCTTGGAGCAGAAGCAAAATCATTGTGAGGAAATGCTGTTAATGTAATAATAAAGAAACATTTCGAGAACGGCTTTGCCGTGCCCTATGTACACAAAATGCAGCGATTCGTTCCCGCGCTACACTTGCATCTACGCTTCTTGCATCTTGACGGCTGTCGCAATTTAACACACATCACTTCATTGTATTAGTTTTTACGCAGTCTGCATCTCTAAAATCACTCACAAATTGCAAGTTAACACAATTTAAACTGATTTTTCACTTATAATTCAAATTTCTCTTTCGCTGATTTGTAAACAAAGGTTTATTTACAAGTTACCACAAGTGTCAAAATCGGCAAAACCAAAGTAGCGGTACCACTGACGGCGCCACCTTTGTTCGCTGCACCGTGGACATCATGGATATAACATGTGATCGATAAAGCAGTCGTTGTATTTAACCAGAGCTTCTACGTCCGATTAGTGCTAATCAGACATTGAACAACCGGCCCTAAAATGTGTAAAACGTCAATAAAAATGATCGTTTAAGGGCCGGTTGTTCAATGTCTGATTAGCACAAATCGGAGGTAGAAGCTCCGGTTAAGCACAACTACTGCTTTATCGATCACATGTTACATGCATGATGTCGAAATCGTCGATAGTGTAGTGGTAGTGATAACCAGACATTGAACAACCGGCCCTAAAGGCTTCGTTATGCATACTTGGCATGGCTTGAGAGCTGTCACATAAGAAATCTGTTAAATGAGCCTCGCGTGTAATCGGTTATCGAACGCACAGCACTACATACGTAGAAGTCTGTTGGTTTTTGATTTCTACGTAAAAATGGTATAGCAGTGCATGCAATGCCAAGTATGCATAACAGAGCCTTAAATGTCTAAGGAGAAATGTTTGGAGGCTGAAGCAACAAGGGGTCTTGTAAGTAAGAAATGCGTCAAAAAAGTTTGCTTTATTTATCAATGTCGTTTACAGGTTATGTTTGTGAGCTTCCCAAAACATTTAATTCTACAACAATCCAGTGAATTATATTTTAAACATTCCCAAGTACTCACGCTTGTTGGTAGAAGGGCAGGCAAACAAATTGTGACGGCATGATTGATCGGCTGTACAAGCTGATGTGGCTTGTACTGCATATACTAGCGAGCGTATATGAAATCTTTAGTTTTCTAATATTGCGTTTGCAAGGTTTAGTACTTTGGTCATATGACCTATGGCACAACAATGCGGCGATAACCTGCCGCGACCGCGCGTATTTGCAAGGCTGCAAAGCTGAATTAACGAAATTACCAAAACATCTCAATTTGATCATTGGGCCTGATTCTCTTGCAAACGTAAATGAAGCGGTTTTGGAACGCATTTTCACATATGCCCACATTGTCGGCATCGATTGCGTCAGTTTATATGATGTGCGTGACGAAAATATGGGACATATTGTCCTGGAAAAAGTATTTATGGCACAAAAAGCATTTTGGAAGGAGTTACGACCAAACCAATACGAATGGAGCCTGCCGGAGTATGACCCAAAGGGCCAAATAAAAGACGAATGCAATAGTAATGGATATGTGGGGAATGGTTCAATTAGTAAAAATGGCAGCGCGTGCAATGGCGATAGTTATGACAAAAAAGCACACGCTAATTTAAAAGTGGGTAATTCATTTTCTATAGTCATTCTTTAAGATAATTGCAAGCCGGAAATTGGCATGTGGTGTAAATAAAATTTTATACCGACTCTCGTTTATTCATCTTATCAGCTCCGCGAAAATACTATGTACATTACACTATCGTGTTTTCCGTATCAAGTAAAAGAAATACTATAATGCTTTTGTAGCTGTGAATTTTGAAATATTTTTTTGTATTTTTAATTCTTAATAAACTTTTATTTTCTTCTAGATTTATAAACTTACCGAGCAGGACAATCGTCCTCTGATAGTTAAAATCTGCCGCAAATTATTTGAACATCGTAATACCTCTAATGTGCAGCACTTATTGGAAGACCGTAAACAACTCGAGCAACACATTAGTGATGAAGTGGCACAACATATGCAATGGAAATTTGTAGATCCAGAATTGAGCATAATTTTCAACAGAGATACGAGCACTTTCGGGGTGTTACCATGGCAGACAAGATTCACAGAATTCCATACATTCGAGACTTTGCGATACATGAATGCAGAAAGCTTCGCCAAAGTGCTGTATAAATATTCAAAATGTGAGCAGCGTTGGGGAAAATAGGTATTTAAAAAATTATGGGCAACTAGTGCAAGCACGAAAATTATGAGATGGGGAAACTATTTTAATATATAAATACATTAGTATAAGAAAACAATGTGTGCGCGTGATAAACTGCATTGATAGTAAAAAATTCACTCAATTGAATCGGTTGCACACAAACAATTAAATTATACTAGAAATATGTATAATTGTAGAAATTACAATTTCATATGTACTATTTTTTGGTGTGTTTTCAATTAAGTTAAATGTATAGAACTATTTGAATCACATTTTTATTACCATACAAATAATAATGAGCAAAAACGGAATATAAATAAATACATATATGAAATTGAATAAAAAGTTGATTTGCGAATAAATGTTCGTTGACTAAAAACGCATAGAACATTTAAAATGTTGTGTTTATACGTAGTATGAATGTACAAACTTTTGGAATGGTGTGGTTCAAGGATATTGCTGTAAAAAAGGTTTTTAACGAATGCTGCTGGAGTGACAGTACTTGAGTACTTGATACATATCAAGATATAAATCTGAGTCATTCTTGGTCGGTCTGTTTGAGTTGTTTGACTGATCTTTTAGCTGGATTTAGCTTCAATAGACACAATGTTGTTCCAGAACGTCATCTCTCGTGTGGAAGGTGTGTGGTAATGGGCGAACTTTTCCAGTTTTTTGAAATGGTTGAACCATTAAATAAAAATAATTTTTTAGAAATAGTATTGCAACATTCTTTTATCATTATTGGATTTTGCTAAGTTGTAAAAATTCTTCCTGATCTGCAGTAGGTGTATTATGTAACTTCTAACGATAAAAGAAATTTTACAAAAGCTTTTTTTTTTTTTTTTTTTTTGAGATTTCAATAAATTAGCTGTGGTGCAAAGACCACATTGCCAGATCAGTCAACAAATGGTTGTCAATGGTAAACAGTCATATGTTTACGGTCAATGGTAGTCAAGTAGTCCGAGTCAAAACAAAGCAAACATGTAGTTAGATTTATTGTGTATATTAAACTTGATTTGAGAGATATCGTTATACTTTAATATCAGCTATCTTAAGAAATTTTACGAGCTGAGAAATAATAGATACATCCTTCGTTAGCAAGATTTCCTTAATTGTACGAAAAGTATTAAAAAAGGCAAAATCGCATCTAAACGCATTATATTTAGCGCAGAAGAAGACCGAGTGATCAAGGCTTTCTTCAGTATCACACAAAGGACAAATATTTGTTGGAATTGAACCTATCCGATACAAGTATTTTCTATCATACCTATGACCCGAAAAAAGTCTATTAATAATTTTTATGCATTCCACAGATAGAGACGACTTGTGATACCACGGCTTTGATGGTAGCTCTGGGAAGATTTCCGCAAAGAAAGCTCCCTTGTGTTGCGATAATAGTTTGTATTCCTGATTCCATTCTTCCCTTAAGGAATTGTAAATTTTCCGAAGAGCATCTTTCTTGCTATATCGTACATCTATAGTAGTACCACTGACCAACGCTATTTTTGCAGCCCTGTCCGCCTTTTCATTCAGAACAAACCCGGAATGTCCTGGCACCCAAACAAACTCACAGAACTCGATAGATGATCCCTCAATGATCGTATTGATTTGGGCAACTGTATGGTTGTTCTTACGTTGCTTTTTTAAAAGAACACAGCTGGACTTGCTGTCAGTAAAAATTACAATTTTTTTTAAATTACTTTTTGCAGCTATCAAGACAGCGCATTTAATCGCGATTAATTCAGCCGACAGAGAAGACAAAGGGTCATTAATTTTATAAATGTACGATACATTTTTTGATGGTAAGTATGCTGCTATACCACAGGATCCATTATTGATAGAGGCATCAGTGGCAAATATTACAAAATTTCTATTTTTATACGACTCTGCACGTTGTTCTAATAATTTCATTGGATACATTAGATTTAGTTGTGGACAGAGGAGTTAAAATATTTAAATCTACGCTATACTTCCTAGACACTATGAACTCAACATTTCTATCAACCTTATTGAAAATAGTGTGATATTTATTAAAGCAGAAGTTATAGCTCGAATTTACGTGCGGCCCTTGCGCAACTTCTTCGTAAAGTTGAGGATTCAAAAATTTTATATTTAAGAGTTCTTTTGATGTTAGGAAGATTGCTCTTAGTTTAGAGGGTAGTTCCCCTGATAGAACATACAAGATGTGATTGGGAGTTGAAGGAGTACATCCCAGGCACCTGCGCAGCAATTGGTTTTGAAATATTTCAATTCTCTTATCTATGTATTTGGCTGAGTGGCAAGCAGTTGTTCTCGCGTATTCGAGCTTAGCTCTTACTAGAGCCTTATACAAATTGACCGCAGGTCCAGGAGATAAACCTCCATTGACGCTTGTCATCATTTTAACAGCATTTGAGTTAGAGGTGGTGTCCCTTATAATGTTCGTATAATGCTCATGGACTGTTAAGCTAGTGTTGATGTATCTGCCCAGAAATTTTATAAAATTAGTTTGTCTTATATCAACGTTGTTTATCTTTATATTGAGCCTTTTATTAGACCCTTTAGCAAAGTACATTGTTTGCGTTTTTGAGAGATTGAATTTAAGATTTAACTCCGCACATCTTTCATAAAAGACATTTGCCTTGTGGGATAGGTTCCTCACTGCGTTATCAAAATTGGTGTCAAAAGATAAAAGCAAAAAGTCATCTGCATATTGAAAGATTGCTGTTTTACCATCTTCTAGCATGTGCAAGGGCGCAGTATATATGTTAAAAATTATCGGACTGAGGCAAGAACCTTGTGGAATTCCACCCGTCACAGTCAGCGATTCTGACCCTAGAGTCAGTACACGCCTATGAAAAAAATTCAAGATCCATGAGGACATCTCAGCTGGTATGTTATAACGATCGAACGTATGGCTCAACTTACTTAGATTGACACAATCGTAAGCTTTTGATATATCAAGTGACATTAATACAACTTTACAACCCCGGCTCTTTTGTTTTGCGATCATGTAGCCCAACTCATTAATGCACATTGCCCCGGATCTACTCTTCCGATATGCATAGCTTCTAGCTGGAATAATATTCATCTCATTAACAATGTTCTCTAATCTGTTCTTTAACATGAGATTGATTAATTTGATGAAAACTGAAAGTAGAGATATTGGTCTGTAATTTTCAATGCAACTTAAATCAACTCCCTTTTTTGGTATTGGTACTATCCTAATCCTGCGCCACTCCTCGAGAACCCGATTGTTCACCCAACAAGAGTTTAAAGCATCATTAAGATTTTTCAAGTTTGTTCGCGAGAGAGCTCTAATCATGCTATATTTGACCCCGTCAAATCCAGCTGCCGACGCTTTCGTCTTTTTTGCTAATACATCATCTAGCTCTTCAAGCTCAAATGGTACGGTATTTTGACTAAACATAGGGACAAAATTGAAGGTCTGAATGTCAGGCGGTATTTGATTTTGTAAAAACAGTAGATATTCTAGATTTTTGGAATTTTCCCAACTATTGCGAGTGACAGGGTTGTTAACCAATGCTTTATGAGATCTAACTGAGGCCCAAAACTCTTTACTGGAGGTGCTTTTACTAATTTCGTTAAGGTGTTCTTGTCTAGATTCCCTTTTCGCTTTGTTTCTAGCTTCATTCCAAATTTTCACAGTCTCTTTATAAGTATTATAATTTGTTTGGTTACAATATCTAGTTAACTTTGCCCTTGCTGCTTTCATCCTTCTAAACAACACGGAAAGAGAATCGTTCCACCACGATTTGGGCGTCCAACCTCTTTCTGAGGGAATCTCTACAGTGGACTTGAAAATGGCTGATTTAAACGACTCAGTTATCTCGTTGATTGACGAAGAGAGACAAAGCTCTGCAATCGATTCATTTAATTTCTTGTTGGATCTAAACTGTATGAACTGAGGCGCTAACAGACCCTGGAGTTGAAAGATGATTGGAAGATGGTGACTCTTACCTAGATATACAGAGGATATATCCCAGGTGAAGCCATCAACTCCAAAATTTGAAAATGTTAAATCAAGAACACTGCTGTGTGACTCATTGTTTTGCAGCGATTGATAGTACGTATGTTTGTGGTTATTTAGACATCTGAGGTTAGTAGCAGACAACATATTGCTTAACATTGTTCCTTTCGGCATAGATACCGTATCACCGAAAACAGAGCAGCGGGCATTGAAATCGCCACCAATAATGGTATTCTTATTCATATTTGCAAAATCGAACATTAGTTTACACGCATTCGTGAAATCGGCAAGTGACATACTAGGATGAAAATATACAGAGATAATGTTAATATTTGGGTTTAAATTGGTAGTACGAATGGCCAGTATTTCATGGTTTGTTTGAAGCTGTATCTTTTTAAATCGTATCGGTTTCTTAATGGCAATAGCAACACCACCAAATCTGCCTTGTCTAAACCTGTGCACAAGATTATAATTAAGCAATTTTAGGTTAAAATCATTCTCACTAAATGTAAAAATTTCAGATAGAAGCAGAAAATCAATATCATTGTTATTTATGAAATATTCAAGATTATATTTATTTGCTTTATAACTCTGTATGTTAAATTGTAGAAATCTCATTCACAATAATGTCTTCTTGTAGCATCCCATCATTACATTCATTAAGGTTATATTTCACTTTTAAATTATTGAACATTTCGATAGATGTTGGCTCCTTTGCAAATTCGCAAAGATGAGCACACATTTTGACTAGGTCATTGATAATTTTTTCAAGTTCTGTTACTCTTTGAGTGTTGACTAGACACATACCTCGTGTTTTGGGATCCGGGTTATCCTTCTTTTCTTTATGAATTACCCTTTCTTTTTGTACAGGATTTACCATCTTTTTATTGCCTTCCTTAACCATTTTGTTATACCTCGACTTTGTTAAAAGTCTATTGACTTCGCTTTGTGTATCTCTGACTGTATCTATACTATTCTCCTTGCTGATGCTAGGGAATTCCTCGTCATAATTATCGAGTAGAGAAAAACGGTTTTCATAACCATACTTTTCCTTGTATTCAAAAAACGATATATTTTCAATGGTCATAATTTTTTGTACATCTTGACGATTAACGCGGACCGGACAAGAACGTACTTCTGCGGTATGGTTTAAGGCACCACACAGCAAGCATTTAGTTTGACCACAGGCCGGGTCACAGCGCGGAATAGTGCCACACTGTAAACACCTTGCCTCTTTGGCTTTACAAAACGCTGCTATATGTCCCAACCGCCCACATTTTTTACATTGCTTGACAGCAGGCACAAAATAGTCGACTTCACAAATGCATTTACATAATTTTACGTGTTTTGGAATTTTATTACCCTTGAAAGCAATTTTCACTGAAGTCGTAGGTTTTAGTTCGCTACCTTCTCTCCTATTAAGTCTACTTACTGATACAATCGCCAAATCACTTTCAATATTTTCAAGTATATACTCATCGGAGTATTTTAGTGGTATTTTTCTTATTATACCATATTTTTCAGTCAAAGATTTTGGAATGTAAGCCAATAAATTTCTGGCTTTGAAATCGTTTTTTGTAATAAAATTATTTGCATCAGTTGCAGTATCAAAAGTCAATTTAGCCCGCCCGTTGCCAAGCGCCCTGAGGTCAGCTAACCCAACCAGAGAGAGATCATCTATCAGTTCCATGAAAAATAAGTTTGAAAAAACTCTTTTCCTTATGCCCCTTTCATCAGGCAACACTTCCAAAAATACAATGTACTTTACCTGGTCATTCGTCTCATACAGTAACGACGGCTTTTCAACTTTGGTCAGTAGCACGTGCCTCGGATTAATGTTTGAAGCTCCAAGAGGGCTTTCAGACAACTCCACTTCGGAATCGCGCGATTCCCCCGTCGCATCCATCAAAGCCTTAAGGTTTACCAATTCTTTTGTACAAGGACGTTTTCCACTTCCAACATTGCTTTCTCCTTTAGAATTTAGTCGCTTTTTTAACTCACGAAACCTAACCTCCATCGGGAGGAAGGCAGTCAGGAAAAACAAGGACCAACTAGTTCAGCGAAAAATGACTTGTTAACGAGAAAATGAATATATTATACTTATACACGTGTATTGCGAATATAGGTGTGAAAAAATTTGCTTTGTTTAAATTTAATAAGTTTGTCAAATAGTTTTCAGTCCGGAAAGTCGAAACGAAGCGTGTATCTCAATTCGGCGCCAAAAACGAAGAGGACTCGTATTGTTTACAAAAGCTTAAAACACACTTTTGGTACTTATTTTTCTATGGCTGCGTTTCTTTATACATTCCGGATAATCCCATTTCACAGCCGGAATAAACAGAATACGAAGAATAAGTAAACAAAAAAGTTTATTCCAAACGTTCAGAATGAATAAAGAAATTCAGCCTATATTCTTTATGTTGAAAACTATTTAAATAATTT